AGGCCAGGTTTTCCTCATATACATAAATCAAAACAAATCACAACTTGAATGCAGACAAAGGTATGAGAATCCAGATGTCTTCTATTAGTAAAACATTAAAGAGATTTGTAAACATGCACAAACAACAAAGCCACTCTGGTCACTATATTTTTTTTACTTTGGAAAATAATTATTTTCATGCTATCAATGCTGTATGATGTGTATTATTTTATATTTATATATCTACAACTAATATTTATTATGAGGTAATAAATTACTTAAAATAAGCATACCTAAAACTTACCAGTTCAAATTTCCAATATAGGAACATTAATAGATAGTGTGTTAGTCACTCAGTCCTGTCTGACTCTTTTGCAACCCTATGGACTGTAGCCCTCCAGGCTCTGCTGTTCATGGAATTCTTCAAGCAAGAATACTGGAATGAGTTGTCATTTCCTACTCCAGAGGATCTTCCCTACCCAGGGATCAAACCTGGGTCTCCTGCATTGCAGGCAGATCCTTCACTGTCTGAGGCACTAGGGAAGCCCTAATAGACAAAATCCACAGAAATAAAGACTTACTGGGTTTCAAAATAATTTAAGGGAGTAAAGGAGTCTTGAAATAAAAAAATTTTAAAGCTGCTGGTCTGGCTAACAGCTTTAGATTTGGACATCTCCAGGTTCAAACCTTAATGCTTCTCAATTGTATGGACTTTAGCAAGATATTTAATTGCTTGATTCTCAAGTTCCCCCATCTGGAAAATGGGAGGTTCAATAGTCAAGAGCAATAATAATTTTTTTAAAAAAATCTGTTAAGAAATAACACTTTTAACTTGCTGAATACACTGCTTAACATATAACAAAATTATAGCGATCTCGTGAATTTCCAAAAAGCACCATCTAAGAATGAATTAAGGGCTTCATTGGTGGCTCAGTGGTAGAGAATCTGCCTGTCAATGCAGGAGACACTGGTTCGATCCCTGGATCAAAAAGATCCCCTGGAGAAGGAAATGGCAACCCTCCTGCCATTCTTATATTCCTGCCTGGAAAATCCCATGGACAGAGGAGCCTGGCAGGCTACAGTCCATGGGGGTTACAAAAGATTTGGACAAGACTTAGCAACTAAACAACAACAACAACAATGAAATAATCATAGGGTACCTTGTTACATATACACCATAGGTGTTGTACACCCTTAAGACCCAGCCTAAGCCGTTCTGTTTCCTCTGCCGGCCTGGCCCAGCCAGCACTGTTTCATAAAGAAGCCCAGGAAAGAAGATGCTCACCTCACATCCTTCAGTTCCTTCCTCTTTCTACAGATATCCTCCTCTTCTCCTTGCTGACGTGTACCTCCCACCTGTAATCGCATGCCTATTCTCATGTCCCCATTGAGATACAGTGAACCAAGGAAGCATCTTTGAGAACTTCTATGACCTCGCACTCAGGATGAAAAGTAATTTTCTATCCTAATAGGCAGTTTCACTAAAATAAATTACCTGCAAAGACAGTGAGCCTACAATACAGTTTCATGGATTAACACCTATCAACCTATCCAGCTCACAACCATCAGTGCCTCTGGAATCTTATCACCCCAGCCTTCAAAATGTCACAACAGCTGCCTGTTCATAATGCACAGCCAATGTGTTCTAACAGTACTTGGCTCCTTTCAAGGGTATTTCAAGTCATTTTAAGGGCTTGGGTAAGTCATAATCCAATTCTTCTCTATTATTATAGTTCCTGAGAATAAGTGAACGAGATTATTTCTAGTCCATTTCTTATTTCAATTTGACTCCAAAAAAGTTAATTTTCTTTCTCAAAAGACCATTCACCTAAAATGTTTTAGGCTTATATCAAAACTCAGAACACACCCTTTGCTTGACAAAGCTGTAGCTTAGAATGCTATTGCAGCAAAGCCCCAGATTTTAACCTTGAAAGGCAAGCATGTGCCGAAAATAATTTTTTTTCAGGACAAGTAGTTTTTAAAGGTAATGTTCTCTTTTCATTTCAGGGAATCATAAACTCCTAACTTTCAGGATAGTTTTAGATAGAGAAAGTAACATTTTCTGCATGGATTTCCTTAGAGATATATCATTATTATACAACATTGTCCAATTATTATTATAGAATATTATTTTCAACAAGTATAACAAATAACTGCTATCATATATTGAGAGTAACTGTTGTTGTTCAGTCACTAAGTCATGTCCAACTCTTTGACACCCCATAAACTGGAACCTGCCAGGCCCCTCTGTCCATAGGATTTTTCCAGGCAAGAATCCTGGAGTGGGTATTTCTTTCTCCAGGAGATCTTCCCAACCCAGGAGACAAACTCATGTCTCCTGCATTACAGGCGGATTCTTTACCACTGAGCCACCAGAGAAGCCTTGAGAGTAACTACCTTGCATTAAACCCTATATTGGGTCTTTCATAAGTTATCTTCTTTAGTCCTTGCATGTGTGGTAGGTCGTTCCAGTAGTGTCCAACTCTTTGAGACTGTATGTACCATAGGCCACCAGGCTCCTCTGTCCATGGACTTCTCCAGGCAAGAATACTAGAGTGGGTTGCCATGCCCTCTTCCAGGGGATCTTCCTGACCCAGGGATAGAACCTGTGTTTCTTACATCTCCTGCATTGGCAGGTGAGTTCTTTACCACTAGTGCCACCTGGGAAGCCCCATTTAATCCTTACAACATTCCTATAAAAGTATTATTATTCTAATTTTATAGATCAGAAGTTAACTTAGGTCACATGATAAATACAGAGAGTTTATGTATAATAACTTAAGTCAAAGAACTGATAAGGGTGCATGGCAAAAATAGGTCAAGATCTCTCCTTCCCTAAGGCAAATAAGCACCCAATTACCTTTCTAATATGGTATCTCAAAGAGTATAAAAAATCTAAGGATTCCCTCTATAGCACCTTGCATTTCCAGAATTTCTCATTGTACTCATTGATTATAATCACACTCCTAACTTTTCAAAACTTTTTCCCCATCAAAAGTGGTCAAGCCAGTTAGCTTCATAAAGAAGAGTCCATTTCAGGTTTGGGTTTTCAGGACAAGCAAATTAGGTCAAAATCCTGGTGTGTGGTTTCATTCCATATAAGGGTATACCAGACAATGCACTTTCATGAATTTTTGAGCTGCTAATGCCAAAATTTTCCAAGCATCTCACATAGGTAGTATGACAAGGGAAAACTTCAGCTGATGAAGATGAAAGGAAAATGTAAAACTCTTTCAATGTGCCTATAGTATCCTAAACAACAAACCACTCCAATTGCTTGCAGATTTGTACTGGCTTCTACCCAACCAGAGTGCTTCTACTCTGCCAACTTTATATTGGAAATGATCGCCCTGCCTTGGTATTTGATGGTCAATTTCACATTATTTCAGCAATGCTTGAAGAAATGCTTTTCGACAATTTGTAGAAATCCTGGCTGCAGATCAACTCACCATTTTCAGTCAAGAAGAAGTGCCAACAATAAGGGGGTTGGCCTTACCAAGTGGAATCTAGTTCCGGATCCCTGAATATTGCAAAATATTTAAATTTCCTAAACTCTGGATGCCCAACTATATTATATTAAATCACCACCACTTTCACTCCCAACAGACAAGCTCCATTGCTTTGATCCCAGAACCCTGATTATCTTATTTCCTTTCAGGGAAAGAACTGCCAGATGAGGCCAGATAAGCAAAAGGACAGCATTCTGAACAAAGCATCTGATTCTACAGACGTCAACTTTGGGGAAGTCCTGCCTTCTCTGGTCCTTAATTCTTTTAATCTGTGAAACGAGCAATCAATTTAAGCAATCCTAAATTTCTCCTCCAGTTCTAGTCTCATGTCACTCTGATCCACTGTCCTACAGCACACTTTCTGAGACAAAGGTGATTATCAACCTTAGGTTAGAATCAGTTCATTTTCCAAATATTTCACTCTCCAGGTGCAAAGCATGTGAAATTATCCTTAAGGAAATGAATATTCTCACCCAGGCTCTGAAGCTAAAAATTAACCTTACATTTCTTTGACTTAAAAAAAATATATATGCTGAAATAACTGTGGAAAATAACCACTTGGATGGGTTATACCAAACACAGTCAGAAGACGAAGTAAACTGTTATTTGGGTAATTATTTTACAAGAGTCTGAAAAACAAAAATGAAACATACATGTAAAACTTCATTTCCAATAGACCTATCACAGCGGAAGATTCTAAAAGACCTAAAGTCTATAGTTTTTCCTTGTAAATCTCAAAGAATCAAAATCCAGAGGGGTTAAACAACTGCCAGGTGTTAAACAGGTACTTTGGAAAGAATGGAAACTATAGAAAAAAATATTGATATCATCTGCCTTAGAGACAAAACACGTTATTTGAAAGTACTGTATAACTCTGCCATACAATTCTAGAGAAAGGGAGTGTGTAATGAACTTGTATTTGCTGGAGGCAAAGCAACCACGCTGTTGCATGAAAAACTCTTTGAAACAGTTAGTGCAAAGATTCCCCAAACTTTGTTTTCATGGTATGGATTTACACTTCATGGTCCTGAAATGTGGGGACGTAGGAAGAAGAGAATCAGAACAAAGTAAGTAGTAACACAAGGAGGTATGTCAAGTGACACTGCTCCAGCTTCTGCCCTCTTTTGGCCAGAGAAATGAGAAAAGTATGAGGCAGCTTCAAGTAACCAACTCAAAGAACTCCAGGGAAGGCTTCAAGATCTTCCAGGCTCTCAGGCTACATTACTTGTTGGGGGTTCCTATCTTGTCAGGGAATCACTCTACATACACCATCACTGAATGCAAGGAAAGAATTTTACTATTCTCATTAACATCCCAAATCTAGGACCGTCTGTCCTGCCTCTACTGATTCTTGTACAGCGAGCAATTCAAGAACTAAAAGGCTCCACCCGCCTAAACCTCAATCAAAACTTACGATGAACAGTAAGGAAGCTTAGTTCTTTGGATATGATTCAGTCACTCTGTTAAGTGTCCAAAAGCTTTAGAGCTAAAATGTTCAGTGGGAACACTTACCCAATATGGTTGGTTCTTAAAGAAATTTCCAGTTCTCTTAGCACTTGCGTGGATTCTTGAACACGCCGTCTGAATTTCTATAATTCAAGAACACATATTCTCACAAAAGATATTTTAGCAAGTGTTATAACTGTAGCTTACTTGTAATAAGTTTAACAGAATACAGAAACATCTCTGCTTCTAAAGTGGGCTTCTCTCACATTTCTTTTTTGCAAAGCACATAAATTTTTCTCATTGTTAACAGTCAGCTTATGCACAAGGACTAGGGAAAATGACTTATTTCATGCAATAACTGTCTCTAAGTAGCTTTTTTCTCCCTCTACCCCACAATACCTCTGTGTTGGGGTCCCTGAAATCATTTGTTTCAGTGATTCAGGAGGGCTCACAGGACCCAACATATAGTTACCCTTACAGCTAGGATTTATTACAGCAAAAAATTACGAAGTATAATCCACTAAAGGAAAAGGTACATAGAGTGAAGTCCAGAGGAAACCAGATACATGCTTCCAAGTCTCTCCCGAGATGAGTGACAAATGACAACATTTGTGAAATGTTTTCAACCACGGAAGCTCATTGGAAACTTAGCGCTATTATTTAGTTGCACAGTCATTGCACAGGGTTGACTGTTTGCAACCCTGTGGACTGTAGCCTGCCAGGCTGCTCTATCCAAGGGATTTCCCAGGCAAGAATATTGGAGTGGGTTGCCATTTCCTTCTCCAGGGGATCTTCCCAACCCAGAGACTGAACTCACATCTCCTGCATTGGCAGGCAGGTTCTTTACCACTGAGGCCCCAGGGAAGCCCAGAAACTTAGTATCTGGGATTTCTCTTGGGGGCTTATCACTTAAACACCCTCTGCCGAGCACATACCACAAGTACAGACTTCCAGAAGGAAAACAGGCATTCTGCATAAACCATGTGGTTGGCATCAACACTTCAGGCACAGTGAGTCATTATCAACAGGGAATTCTAGGAACTTTCCCGAAATTCAAGTGTCCAGTTGCCAAATGAGAGCCAACCTTGCAAGCATGCCTTTCTGAGGTGGCGATCTCAGACCTGCTATGTTTATTCTTTTCTGCATTACCTCACGTGGAAGGTCCCTCTAGACACTTCCCTTCTACTTGACGAATATCCTTCCTCATTCCCCTGCCTATCAAAATTCCATGTGTCCTCAGGATACTAGGGCTCCTTCTCTGCTGCCATGACTGCAGAAGGAACAGGGTCATCCAGCTTCAAAGACAAAGGCGTCCCAAGGACAAAGGACAGGAGGAAGGTTAGAACGGAGGATTCCAGGATGTGGGGAGGGGAATGCCCTGCCACAGGCCGGCCTTGGTGCTCCCGGGGAGACTGGACTCCTGCTCAACACAGATGGGTTCCAGTGACCCTTGCCTCCTCTTCTGAAGGTCCTTGTGCTTCTCCACCAGCTGCCTCTCCAAAGACTCTCAAAAGTTTCCCCCCGACTGCCGTTCCTGAGGCACCCTGAAGACCTTCTCAGGAGTGCAGCATCCAGGACATGTGAAGTTAAAGCATCCCTGATGCCATGAAGAAACAGCCAACCCCAATTTGTCAAGAATGGCTTAAGACAAAACAGAGTCATCTGTAGTGTGGAGGGACATCTACGCCCAGGGCTTCTTGGGGAGCTTTCCAGCAAACGAGGACTGGTCTGTGGTCACACAGCTGAGGAAACCACTTCCAAGTATGCTGGCTGCTCCGGAGGGGCCAGTCCCCCGGCGGAGTCACAAGCCTTGGGCTGTCTGTACATGTGCCTCTCGGAAAAACTCAGCTATGCATTATGCACAGTTCATCCCCCGCCATCTGTGCTGGTTCCCTAACTCAGCCTTATGCTTCCTCAGGGCAAGGTCATCCCTCATACAGAATGACAAGGACAACCGGGGTAGCACCAAGGATCTAACAGTACAAAGGAGGATCCGCAGAAGGACTGAGAGGCACTTATCAAAACAACGTAGCACAAAACACTGAGATAACAGGTAGGACAACAATAGCAGATAATATTTATCAGTCATTTACCATGGAAGGCGCTACATTTTTGCAACTGCCGGATTAACTGAGACCCAACTAAACTGACTTCACCACGTGTTCTGTTCTCTGGGCGAACTGTTTGAATTTCAGTCGAACTCTGCACCAAAGAACCTTGGCATATACTTCCCTAACACATAATGACTGCCAACACTCTGCATCTGTACAATGTACCCAGGATGCTTTAAAAAACTTCAAAGGGAAACTGTGTGCCTGTGGGAATCAGCAAAAAAAAAAAAAGAGTTGGGTACCATTTATTAGCAGAGTTCAGCCTTCCTCCAGCCATCTCTATAAAAGGCAGGCCCAGGGAGGAGTCCACGGAGACAGCTAAGCCCTGGAGACCCATATAATAGGTTTCCTTTTACATCTGCAGCACCCACAGAGAACCAGACTTCTCTCTTCATGGCCTGTCGCCTTTTTCCACGCCAGACATGAGCACACCCCTGCAAAGTGCAGACTGAGACCCGCCTGGTATATTAAATAAGGAGGCTGGTTTGGAGAGATATCTAATTTAGGCTCTTCCTTCCCTGCCCTACAGGGTTTCATTTAAAACTACTTAGAAGAAATAGAATATGCTTAAGAAATTTTTTTTCAGAAGACAGCAAATTAAGAATCTTCAATTCAATGTGAACAAAAGATTAATGAATGAAGTACTTGAGGACTCCAGATGCAGTTAAGGGGAGACTGCTTGGTTTATACTGTCTGGCTAAAATGGAAAGCCTGATTAGAAATCTTTTACCCCATAATGCAACTGACACTTGTAAACTCATTTTAACTGCAAGCCATGCCTTACTCCAAGCAAAATCTCCTTTTCTCCAGACTTTAAGCATGACAATTATGTTGAGTGGAACAGATCATTTCCTACTGCCAGCTCCTGACAGAACTCTTACTAAAGCGGGGATGGTTGATCCAATGTCCATTTTAGGTGTTTGCTTTTTTGTTTTTTTTCCTGAGAGTTGAATGACTGATCTTGAAAGATGAGGCTCAGGCCAAACACAACCACTCAAATGAACACACAAGGCCAGGGCAGAGATGTCAGGAATGAAGGTCAGTCCAAAGAGACATCCTTTGACTGGGGTCTCTTTATGAAGTTATTTGCAAGGAAGCAAGACAATTTCTGTGCAGCAGATTTGTTGTTGCTTTTCATTTTGCATCCTTTGCCTTATCCTTTATTCTTCAAGGGAGAACTGGAACTGGGCCAGAAGATCCCACCTCCTCCCTCCAACCATCTTCCTCCCCGTGAGGATCGGGGCTGGAGTCTAGGTGCTCTCTAGGAGTTTTCATATCTTGGTTTGTAAAGAATCTGACAAATGTTGAGATGACTGTCAGGGATGGGAGATACTCTGGGTGAGGGGACCTCTCAGAACTGTATCGGATTCTGCCACATCCAGCTTGGGGCTTCCCTGGTGGCTCAGATGGTAAAGAATCTGCCTGCGATGTGGGAGACCTGGGTTCCAAGCCTGGATCGGGAAGATCTCCTGGAGAAGAGAACGGCTATCCATCCTGGTACTCTTGCCTGGAGAATCCCATGGACAGAGGAGCCTGGCAGACTACAGTCCATGGGGTCACAAAGAGTCAGACACGACTGCACGACTGAACACACACACAGAGAGCTCAGGACGCGTGTGCTCAATGCTGGGATCTAAGCCATCTAGCCAGAAGCTTTACAAGACAGGGGATTTCTGAAAATATTTCTCATATAGAATTTTGCTGCTCTTGTGCAAAAGAAAGAAGTTCTTTTCTGGGTTCTGTTTTATGCATATGGGTACACCTTCCTTTAACTTCCTCTAATCTGATGAGATTGAAGGCTGTGATATCGTTGGGGAAGGGCACAAGAAAGAAATTGAGAATGATGCAGCTGCCGCACAGAGGGTAAGGAGTGGGTGGGGCGAATTGAGAGAGCAGCACGGAGACACACACATTACCATAAGTAAAACAGGCAGCCAGTGGGAATTTGATGTCTGATACAGGGAGCTCAAACCTGGTGCTCTGTGACAAGCTAGAGGGATGGGGTGGGAGGAAAGTTCAAGAGGGAGGGGACATATGTATACCTACGGCTGAGTCATGCTGATGTACAGCAGAAATCAACACAATATTGTAAGGCAATTATCCTCCAATTAACAATAAATAAGTTATAATAAAATTTTTAAAAAATTAAGCAGCTGTCTCATTTAGGGGACCTGACAGAAGTTCCGTGTTAAAAACAAACATGTGTACCGTATTTAGGAGGAGGGTATTACGATACTTTGACAGGTACATTCTTAGAAGAAGAGGCTATGTCATACACGGCGTCTAGGTGACAGCAGAGATCCACAGACCATTTGCCTCATCACTCCTAGACTTCATTTCTGCTTGTCTACATAGCAACCACAGGACAAAGGGCCAGGACACATCCCAAAGGAAATAATAGTTGTTCTCCTTTGCTTGATTTCTTTTGGCAGAGGGAGGGCAGCGCTTAGAATGGAAGCAGGAAACAAAATTTAAACATGTATCCCCGAGCCAAGAGACCCGGAAACAGCAGCTAACTAGGAAAAGTGTGCCTTTCTGCTCCTGAGTCACGTGCTGAAACAACAGAGGGAATTCAGCTCAAGATATTGTCAGGGCAGCCTTGAAAGCAGGAGCTGTGGCAGGTCAACCGAAAAACAAGTGCTGTCTGGTGGCGGGCCCTTCACCCATCATGAGCAAGGGCGGCTCTGCCCTGAGACATCCCAGGGCTGATCCAGGCCCAGCGGGCTGTGCCCGGCTACATTCTTTACCACGAGGCATCAGTTTAAACCAACTGTGTGGCTGCACGAAGCAGAGCTCGTCTGTAAAAGGAGGGAGTCTGCTGAGAATGGAATCAGCTCTTCTCTCCTCACCTTCTCGGGGCCTGGGGCACGGCTGGGGGAGAAGCCGCGAAGAGCATCAACACAGGATGTGAGCACACAGCTGGGATGACAAAGCCCCGGTGATTTTTCAAGGTCTCTGGAAACGCACCAAGGCATGGAAGACAAGTATTCTCTTTGCGAGGCCTTGTTTTTCTGGGGGCCTGAACACCTTCGAGCTGAACTAACCACCCAGTATAATTATAAATGGCAGCTACTCAATAACCATCAGAGGTACACAACTCCCATCTCAGGAAAGAACTTTTAAACACATTCTCAAGAGAGGATGACTTTTTTCTTTGTCTTTTCATGTTGTCAGGCTCCAACAACTCCAGGGTTGTTTTCCCAGAGGCACCAGCAGAGTTTATAACAGAGAGGAAGGAAGGTCTCCTCGAGGGCACGAGGATTGTCCCAGCCAGTGAGGAAGCGACAACATGCAGTGGAAACAAATCCATCTTACCTTCCTGGTTACTGCTGGATCCAGATAGCCTTTGAGCTTTTGAATATAAGTATGGGGAGGGTTCTTCACCTGGAATCGTTCCTGCAGGAAGCACGAAAGTAAAGTGAAAAGCATGAAAGCTCTGAAGGCATGAAAGTCATATTCACACAGATTGATGCCGCTGATCCAAAGCCAAAACACACCTGCAGCCTGACTGTGGTGCTGCAAAGAGTCATTGGTTTTGAATCTTCAGAGTAGATGTTCTTATCCCCTCTTTGCCAAGGAGGAAACTGAAACTTAAAGGAACTCAGCCTCCCCTAAGATGAAGCAGCGAGTCAGAGACACCAGGGGATTCAAACCCATGTCTGTTCAACCTGAGAGTCTGACCTGCTTTCCCCGTGGGGCTCTGCAGCTCCCTTTCTGGAAATAATCTGCCTACTCTGTGAGCAGGGTCCTCTTTACAGCAGGTCTTCCATCTGTTGCATATTCTTTGAAGCTCTTGTTAGCAGGTCATTTTCTTTTGAATTTTTATTTTATCTTTGGAAATACCCAAAATTTGACTCAAACTAGATAAAATTAAATTGTTTCAAAAATGAGCAATGAGGCTACTGCTCAGAGATTGCAGTGAGTATGTGAATATTTGTGTGCAGGTGTGTGGCCATTAAAGGATTCCTAAGGCAGTTTCCAAATCAGAAAACCCCAAAATATTGTGATTAAAGGCACAATCACTGAAACAGCATATTATATATATATATATATAACACATATATCTCAAGGTGATATTTGAATGGAGATCTGGGCTGAGGCCTGAGACTCTGCATTTCTAACATGTTTCATGCCGATGCTGTGGATGGAAGGACCACACTTTGAGAAACTCATGTCCGTGTGTATTAGATTTTATAGGCCATAATGTCCAAAGCAGAAGTAGTAGTAAACTGGACAAATCCAAAGGCCCACACTAAAATGGTTAAGTACTATATTATAGGCATATCATAATAAACTACATTCTGATGAAAAAGAACACACTATATTGCACGGTGCTATTTGGACAGATCTTATAAACCTGTGGGGGCTTCCCAAGTGGCTCCAGTGGTAAAGAACTGGCCTGCCAATGCAGGAGACGTAAGAGTTGCAGGTTTGATCCCTGGGTTGGGAAAATCCCCTGGAGGAGGACATGGCAACTCACACCAGTATTGTTGCCTGGTGAATCCCATGGACAGAGGAGCCTGGTGGGCTATGGTCCATAGGATCGCAAAGAATCAGACACGACTGAAGCGACTTAGCACAGCAAAGCACTATAAACCTGATGTTGAGATGAAAGAGAATACATGATTTCTTTAACAAGAAGCATAATTAAATACTAACGGTTAGGGACACACATGGGTGGTTTATTCTCACACACATATACACACACAGCTGAGTGATTTGCATAAAAATAATAGTCAAGGACCAAGATGGGGAAGGGGAATACAGACTGATTCTGAGAGGCTGGCAATGTTCTTTTTGACCTACCAGTAGTTACATTGTACTGATTGTATCTTACTTATTATGCTATTCTTAAATTTCACAACTTTTCCTGTATACATGCTGTATTTGACACACAGAAAAAGGTTATACAAATCAGCTCCAAAAGGGAAAAAACAAAAATTCATCATGAAATCAGAACAATTCTTGTCAAGTTTTTTTCTACACACAACTCAAAAGATGTTTTCCTAGGAATTATTTTTAGCCTGATTATTGTTTACACCAAAATGGAATTCAGTGTTTCACAATGCTGACAATTGGCCAGCATAATAAGTGTTTGTTTATCCCATATAAATTTGTATTTCTTCAACACAGGGAACCACAACATTCTTCCTGGTCCACTCAAGGCTTCTTTGCTTACAGATTTAGAAATGCTAAATTTCTATTGCTAAATCTTATTATTATCAAAAGATCATTTTACTAGTGAAAAAATATATTGTATTACTTTTTAATATTACTTTAAAGTAAAAGAAAGTGGCTTATAGTGAGACACCTATCAATACTTCCCCTTTACTTAAAAATGATCATGGCAAATTTTGTAGTATACAAACTCGCTCGCCACAGAACTGTTTAAAAAAAAGGTCAGCTTATTATTTCTAATCATCCCCCTGAATTTTCAATCCCACCAGCAACTTTTAAATAATGATTCACACATATTCAACATCTTGGGTGCCACTGTGTCTATGTATCAAGTCCTAATTTTTTTTTTAAACACTACCCACTAAGGGATCAGTTAGGATCCAACTGTCACAGGATTTTAGCAATAGCCTAGCTGAGGGCTAAAATAATCAAAAAAGCACTGCATTCCCAAAATGAACTGATAAGTGATCTAGGAACCAGTTATTATTTCCAACCTTGTGTATGACAGCAGCTGATGCCAGGGATACATACACCTGGATATAAATGAAACAATGCTTTTTAATAATACAATCCAATTACCCAAATTTTTAGACATGCCATGACCAGCGACAACTCATATCATATTCTATTCTTCTATAGACAATACTACTTACCTCTCTCTATAAAGTTCCTAACACATGAAACTCAGTGAATTTTAACTCTGGCTAATGTAGCATTTGCTTGAGGACCTAAAATTTTAAATCTGTGGACAGTTACTGAGAGATTTCTAATGTTTCTTCTTGTAGACAATGTCTTCACACCACAAGAGCTATATTTATTCCTTTAAAATAATTTGGCTGACTAGCATATATAATATATTGACATTCACTAAGTTAGTAAAATCCCACTTTCTTTCTTAGGGTAGTTTTCTGTTTCTTACTTAAGACTGTGGTCTTGTCACCCAGAGGGACTTTTGCAAATAGACACATTTGCTGGTCCTGTTGACTTGATTAGTTTCCTTAAAATTAATCCTTTGAAATTATGAACAGGGTCTAAATTTAACAAACATACTTTTTCAAATGTGCTTAGGATTTGCTATTGTGTTTTAGGCATTTTTTCTTCACTTGTCTGAGTAACTTACTAATATTATTTCTAAGAAACATAAAATGAAGAAAACAGATGCTTTAAAACACAGTCAGGGGACTTCCCTGGTAGCCCAGTGGTTGAGACTCCATGCTTCCAATGCAGTGGGGGAACTAAGATCCTACCTGCTTATGCAACCAAGAAATAAATAAGCAAAAAGATGATGATTGTAGATAAGTTTCAAAATGTCATTAAAATTTTTAAAAATTAAAAATAAAACACAGTGGGTCTACATCATGGTGACTTCTCAAAAAACTATACGGCTCTGCCTACCTCCAGGGATTCAAGTGAAATTTTTATGGAGAAAAAATACAAGGCCCAACTATTTTCCTACAAGTTGGAGTTGTTTGTCTAACCTCAAAAGGAGCTACTGTTTGAGTTATAAATCCAGCACCTGATGCACCAAGCCTTTTCTGTCTGCCTATCTTCAACATGGCCATTTGAAAAACAGAAACATTTGGAGGAATACATTGGAGAATTTAAGTACCATGTCAAAATATATTTATTTTGAAGAACTTTGGGTGGATTATTGGCACCATGCTTATTTAAATGAATATTTTTTTTCCTCTAAGTACTAGAATTTTAGATTTTGCACTGAAACTCAAAATTGATGTGACTGCAGTTTTCCATCATCCTCACTTCTGAGACTCCTTCATATTCCACATGTTATTTTCAATAACTAGTTACCTGCTTGCTCAACATCATTGAAAAATGTAACTTCATTAGATTAAACCCCTAACTTCAGTTACATTATATAGAAATATGGTCCTTAGGGATAAAAATTTGGTGATTTGTCAATAGGAATGAATAAGCCATCTGAAAGAGCTTTAAAAATACAAATTCCTTTCAAAATATCTAATCAAGCAGCATCACTAGCACTTTGACCTCCTGCTATTTATTTCCTTGCGTGACTGAACTTTCTTCATGAGATATTTCTAGATGGGAAATAACAATGGCTCTGAGGGTTTTAATTATTCTCTATAAACACTCAAAGAACTGAGCCCAAATCCATTTCTTACTATTCAGGACACTATTGCTGACAAACTGCATTGAAAGAACCACGGGAGGAAAGAGAGGGGAGAACAGACCTTATCTTCATGAAGTCTCTGAGCCTTTTGCAAATATTTTATTTTAATAAATTAGAGTGTTAGTAATTCAATTTCTCTGGTAACAACAAGAAAATGTCTTCCCATTGCTAAAAGCAGCTTCATTTATACAAGTCCAAGAGCACAATTACCCTTTCCTCTGGAGCAGCACTCTCTGTTTCTCAAAGATAATCAACTTATCTTTCAACAACACTTTACAGTTTACCACATTCTTTAGACCTCTTAACTTACTCAAGCCTCCCTACCTGCCAAGTAGATATTAAGTCCGTTTTACAGATGAGGAAACCAAAGCTCAGAGAGCAAATGATTTGCCTTAAATCACACACACCCACACACCCAGATCAAGGATTCAAACTCGGGTTTTCTGACTTTGGTCCTTGTTCTTTTCACTATACTGTAATAAGTGTGCCCATCTTGCTTTTGATAGAAAAAGTTTTTAAAGGACAAAAAACATGCTCTACTTTGAGTTCTAGTATATAGATAAATATTTGGCACCCAGTCCTTAGTAATGTTCAAAGAATTAAACTTCTTTTAGATGCCATATACAAGTCACTTCTCACATAAATTACAGTTATGTTGTTGTTTAAAAGTACACAAAGAGACTGAACACACTCTGTATGGGGCACACACCCAGTGGGTTCTGTGCTGGATGTCAGCCACACTCAGGTCATAGCTAAAGGACCTCTGCAGATAAGCTTGTGCCGTATCTCTCATGGCTCTGAAACCGCCTAGTGACTTTTATAATTATACATTCATTTCTCATTAACTCAATCCACTAAGGCTTACACCAGCGTCCCCTCTCCCCACTGGCCACCAGCAAAATCACTGACTACACACAAGCCAGCCCTGCAGATAAGGAAAAAAACAAAGCATTGACTGGATTCCACTAATGACCGTGGTTCAAGTCTACGGCAACCCAAATTAAAAAACCAGGTCATTCATGTAATGACCTATAAGGGAAAAGAATCTAAAAAAGAGTGGATGTGTGTA